TCTGTACATTATGTTAATCTTGTTACAACTAATTAATTACACGAGTGAGTACTTGTGCGACAAATTATGATGGCGACGAATTGTCCAGGCGACGAATTGTCCAGGCGACGAATTGTCCGTCCACCCAAACCAACACTCGTTCCAGATCAAATTCGACGAGCTCTATCTGTTCCAATCATAAAAAATTTTCACCCTCACCCACACCCTCAAGATGGTTTTTTTAGGTTTTGAGGGCGAAGAAAGAGCATTTTGGGAAATTTTATTTTTGGAAACGATAGAGGTCCTCAAGTTATACTTGAAACCAGTGTTGGTTTGATTAGAACATACGCTCAAACGAATCCACTCAAGAAAATGTCGAATCCTGCCCGAAGGTATCCTACGTGTTGATTACTTGAGTCATTATGAGAGAAAATCATACGCGTTCATCGAAAAGATCATATGGAACAAGGCTTAAAGGTTTGAAAAACGATTCTACAGCATAAAATACATTTGCTTTCTAATGGTTGCACCCGTAATCTCATCCTTCTATTTTCAAAACCTTTAAATAGTTATATAACCAATCGTACTTGATGACTTTCAAGGTATCGTGTAACGATGAAGATATATGTCGATTATGTATATGTACACAAGATCGTTTATTAATTACAAAACATCGGGTTTAAATAGGTATGGAAGAAACGAATGAAAGTATATGACGCCATGGATAAAGGATTTTTCCTCTTAACAATCAGTAGGTAGCAATAGTTGTATAACTTGACCAGGTGATACAGCTGATATCGAATTGCCAGCAAATGTTGGTTTTTCATTTTCTACACCATAATGATATACAAAAACTCGTCGTTGATCAGCTCTTGTTATATAAAAGTCTGAAATTTCATTGAAACCAGCATGCTCATAACTAGCGGTGATTCGTCCATCAACTAGAATTGTTGGTGCTGTCAAAAGAAATGTATAGAATGGGGCATTAAAACCTGAATCCCCAGAAAAACCTAGAATTGGTTGATCATTTTCATAAAGAATAAAGCCAGCACATAGTTCACTATGTTGACTTTGTCGAACACGTATTTTCAATTTTGATTTGGAATCTCCAGAATCAAGTTCAGTATCTTGTAATTCATGACACAGAATCCATTGGACATTTTTAAAAAAATCTGTAGTTGATGAATCGAGTTCAGCACAACGAAGATAACGTAAACGAGGTTGAACACTAGCATAACAATAAATTCGAACGATCGATTTTGCAGCTTCATTCCCTATATATACTGGTAGTTCTCCACTATGATCTGTATGATTATGAGAAACGAATACTTGTCGAGGTTTGATTTCAGTAGTTTTAAGATATTTTTGGAAAGCAAATATTGTACCAAGACCAATATCAATAAGTAGAATACATTCGCCAGTTGAACGACGTATCAGTGCGAACGAACTACTAGTTTGATTGGAATAAACAGCAGTAGAACCTCTACCGACACCCAAACAAACAAGATCGTATGATGAAAGTTCTGCTGCACCCTAAGATAAATAAAAAAAGACAAAAACAAATGATCATTGAATTGATTGCAGAACAAACTTCATCAGTATTATTTGTATTAGAGTTTATGTTATAATTTTCACATTGTTCGATTGGTAACTTGGTAGAATCTGTTGCAGGAGTGCTCGTTGTCATGTTGGCGACGAAATGTGTCATTTGATAAAAATATACTATGATAATGTCGGTGGCGCGATATTTAAAATGAAGAATAGATCAATATTGACATTAGCTCAGTGTTTATACGTATTTATCTCTAGAAAGAAGAAAAATTCAACACGCTATTTATTTTTTTTTATTATGACGTTGATGAAAGGCTACATTAAGAGGAATGGCATTAAAGCTATACGTCATTTTGGAAATACGAAATGCAAGTTAAATTCGATAGAAGGATACGGGTGTAAGCGGCGATTGGAAAAATTCCAACTTCATCTTCATCGACGCTCTCGCAATCAACTTGTAAAGAAAAGTTAAGATCGGTGTGAAGCTAGCACGAAGGAGCTAGCACGAACAAACGATATGTTAGCTAAAAACTTTTTTACTAAGTATGTCCCGCCCATGAGAACTACACCATTCGACTCAGAATTTAATTCTGCATCGAATGGTGATACTTTTATTCACCGGACAAACTTCGGAAAATTTTCTATCGATATCTTTGTTCGTTTCCTTTAAGTCTATTTATAATTCAGATAGAATTTTTCCAAAGTTTGTCCGGTGAATAAAAGTATCACCATTCGACGCAGAATTAAATTCTGAGTCGAATGGTGTAGTTCTCATGGACGGGACATACTTAGTAAAAAAGTTTTTAGCTAACATATCGTTTGTTCGTGCTAGCTCCTTCGTGCTAGCTTCACACCGATAAAGTTAAGTTCCTGACATAAGAATAAATACAACACCTTATATAGATTGTTTCTATTGATAAAGAATATGTCGTAGTCTGCCATTGATTAAGTAGAAATTTTTTCAATCGGTCTATGTTAATCTTCTCGAATGTTTCATAATTTGAATAAGAACGATCACTATCTACAGAATAGTTACAAGGATCCCGAATGATTTTTATTAATAATTGCTTTCATAACGTGTATAATTTTCAATAAATATCGATGTCATACTCTATGAAGAAAAAAACATTCACAACTGAAAATAATATGCTTATAACACTTTAGAAATTTTAAAATCTACTTATATGGAGTAAATCATTATTAAAAAGACTTTCGCTTTTTTCTTATTTATCTAGTAGAATAATAATGTCTTTGTCATTATTTATATCAATCAATTATCGGTTTTATTATTTTCTTCCAGTATATTATTGCTATTCATATTCCTATTATAACAACAATCAATTATCAACGATGCGATCCATTTGGAATCTATTTTTATTATGAATCAGGTATACATTATTATCTTTGCAGATACCGATCAAATAGTACAAATGCCAATATTTGGAATTTTAGTTTCCCATAACATAGTAAACTTGTAGAGATCTGTAGAGCATTTTTGTATATAAAACAATAGTTACTTCATACCTATTTATTGTACTTGTTACAACGATAAGGAATAGAATGAAAATTACTAAGACTTTCTAGTGAGAGATTCATTAATGTACGTAGGATACCTTCGGCCAAGATTCGACATTTTCCTGAGCTGATTCATTTCAGTGTAGCTTCCAAACAAGCCGACACCGGGTCCAAGTGCAACTCGAAAAGCTCTATCGGTTCTCATCAGAAAAATTCTTATCCCACCCACACCCTCACCCTCACCCACACCCCTCACCCTCAGTGTAGATAAAATAATTCTGATGAGTCTTCGAATTTCTTCGCATATCTTTTGTTTTCTAATGATTTTTTTCTAATGGTAGTTAGTCAATTGAACAACAAACTATTGGGCAAAAAAGATTGTCAGTATTTTTATTCTTTCTGATTCATTTTTACATTTCAAGTGATTTCCTGAAGTATTCTCGAATTTTCATTAAAGTAACTCCTAATTGATTTCTTCCCTTGCCATCAGGTCCGTCACCCCAATATGAATCTTTTCCTGTATGTTCAATCAATATTCGATCACCAGTTGATAATAAGAATTCTTTCAATTTGGAATGTTGTTCAAATTTCGCCAGACATGCTTTGAACATCACTTCATCTTTAACTTGCTCCCAATCTGTGCGTTGGGAAAAATCATGTTCTCGAACATATAAAAATGCTTCATGAGGTGTTTCTAATTGTCGAATATTTTCATAATGTGTTTTATCCCAAATGAATTTTTGTGCTTGATAATAATGTTCAGTTGTTGGCCAAATAGTTCCGTCCAGTTCGATAGGAGCAGAATAGAAATTGCTAAATTCACCAAATAATTCATATGGACGATAGAAATAAATAGGTGGATTTGTCATGTTTTTGCGTAGAAAAAAGATTGTTTTTCTTCTGTTTTGTATGTTTTGAATAAAAATTGAAAGGCATTTTATAGATAAGAAAAAAGAATACTTCGAAATTTTAGTGATAAATAATGACTCATATCGATTTTTATCTCTGTCACATCTTGTGTTCGGTAGTAATATCTATTCATTATGAAATAAATATGAAGAACAACCGCCGATGGAAAAACCATCTCTCTCTATATATATATGAACATATAAGGAAAGGAAATATCCTCAAAAAACGAGTAGTGTAGAAATCGTTAACTCGACTCGAGCATTAAGCCACTTCTTCGAGTTTTCCGCTTACCAACTCGTAAGTGATTGATCGTAAATCCTTGAGTGACTGATCACTAACTATTATGTAACTGCTAATTAAATATTAACGAACCGATTACTTTTTATCAATCAACGGACTATCACGTAATCAACACCTGGCTATTAAATACTACTTAATCATTTATTCACTACATGACTATCAATTATCAGCCAACTAACGGTAACGAATCCCGTTAACATTGACGCTGACTGTGCCGTTCCCATCTGCACTCTCCCCACCACCCTCACACCCTTATCTCAACGAGTCTTTGTGATTTATGGGCATCTTCGGTAACATCACAATTTCTCACCTATTGTCAGACAGATGCTCATTGAAGTCAATACTTTCCATCTGATCAACCATCTTCTTCAGTGCACGTAATCGAGATGGATATGAGCATATAGTAGAATTTCAAATGAACCATAGTGTTGGTTTCCATCTAAGGTAAAACATCTGAAATACTCCTCTTGAGAATTTCTTCGATATACCGAGAATGTTTAGTTTCAGATAACGTTCTTTTTTTAAACTTCATCCTTGATTATTGAACGCAAAAGGATAATCTCACATTCTGAATCGTAGCTGGTTATATAAATATTAGCCTCATGTATACCGATCTTG